CGATGATGGAAAGACTATTACTCGTGATGATATTAACACTGTAGACAGAGTAGGAACAAACAAGCCTAGTTTGAAAAAGTAGTAGTGCATTATGAACGATGTTACAAATGAAATGTTCTGGATAGGACAAAAAACTTACGTCTGTCTACAGTGGCCTTTCGTTTTAGATCAAGTAGTCCTATTTATGTCAACGAACACTTGACAAGACAAGGTAAGCAGTTAGTGAGAGCACAAATGCAAAAAAAAGAAGTAGGATGGAGGTTCATTTGGATGCAAGGCACGAAATTTGTAACGAAAAAAAAAATGGAAACATTAGCAATTTTAAAGACTGCCTTCTTAGAATATCTGGCAAAACGCTGTTTTGATGCCTTCAGAGCCACACTTTTCTTGAGCTTGCAATGTCAGTAAACTATGACTGACATGGCAGAAATTTGATACCTAGATAGTGAAAAATCGATACCTAGATAGTGAAAAAGGCCATCAGCTATCTTCAATGCGTTTGCGTTAAATGCGCTTAGCATTAGAAATAAGATTAGTAGCCTGTGTCTCTATTTCGATGACATGTCGGTAAAATTTGATGCCATTCTTTTGACATAATTCTTGTATTTTTCGTGCGATATAGCCCACCAAAAATACCAGGGTACAATCATCATGGCATTGTGTAGTTCATGAAATGGGGAAGAGGAATAGCGCTGTACACCAAAAGTTAATTTTTGGCCGATATCAATGGACTTCTGTGTGTTAAGCCCTGTGTTGTGTGTCTAGTAGTACGATTTGGGGGTTTTGTTTTGCAGCAATTAGCACGCCTCCATTAGGTCATAAGTAGGGATTCTTTGAGTTTCTGGAAACTAGGTAACTTGATTTTTCGGTCACAGGTGCATAGTTGATTTTTCGCTCATAACCAACGGGGCAGATGCCGGCGGCGGGTTTTCTGCGACACGAGCTCTTCAACGCTATCATGTTAAAAAGCTGACATAGGCAGCATTGACCCAATGAATGCAAAGAATAAAGTCAAGTGTCCTAGCAGGAATCAAAACCTAGTATTCTGCTTGGCAATTAAGTATTCTACTAAGGAGCCATGCCCGGCCTTGGTTATACTTTCCAAATAATCTCCAATGTTTTTGTAACATCAACTGTCATTGCAGTACTAGCTATCAAATTTTATAACTATTACTTATGCACTCCTATGATGCAGCCGTGAGGTCGAATCAAAGCCAATTGTAGTCAGGCACCATCTTGGGAAGTATTTGTGTATCAGTGTTGAGGGCTACCATCCTCGCGAGTGCCAGCGCAAACACCAATGCTTCATACCAGCCTACCACTCCTAGTTTAGCTAATATCTATGTTTCTGTTGGCATCGTTACGAAACAGCAAATAACTGCTAATGTTGTCAAGGGTGTAACATCTCCCTATAACAAATAAAACATATGCGGCTGCTTAACGTATGTGTGTGCGAGAATTTGTACATATATTGAGCTCCACTTCATAGGATCGCTCAATAAAAAAATTAAAATACATGTTATGCGTTTTTTGCATAACATCGATTCCCAAAGTATGTGGGGTCTGCCAAATTTTTAGCATCAATTTAGTAACCTAAATGCTACCATAAACAATTATTTATTGAACATGAACAGCTGGACTACAACTTACTAAGCTTTAGGTATTAATAAAACTGAATATAATCATGACTACAGCATACCTAACAGGCAAATACTAGTACTACATACATGACACACTATTGTAGAGCTAGACTAGAATATTGCTTATTGGCACTTTACAATTCTTCAAAAACCCTTATTAACTTCAGTGCCTTATTCGGTTTGTTCAAATTGGATGTGCGCAATTACTTGATGAATAGCTTTTTTACTCAAATCTAACCCATGTTTCACGTGTGCATCATGCTGAATCATTGTTCAGATGTTTCTTGTATATATATTTCCTTTCTACTATGCTGTTTGTTTTTGTATGTGAAATCTGTTGTACGTGCTACCCTCTGTAGGCCCCCAGGTACTGTCAAGTTGTTTACACAGCTTTTTGCCTGGGGGACCTCCAACAAGCATGTTTTCCGTTAAAAACAGAGCGGATTTTGATGCCGACTTCTACTCACATAGAACTAAGAACACTCCAGCATGACAAAGCATATTGTATCTTGGACAGTCTGTCTTGTGAAACTCTTGGTGATTACTTCTGTCTTTATTTTAGGCTTCCGGGTGTGCATGTGCTGTAGAGAAGGAGTGCCCTGACCACACTTCTGTAAAAGGAACCAAAGTCGCCTGGGCAGCTGAAGATGGATTGTGCAAGTGTTTGAATGATCACATTATATTAATTCAACACCACTTGCATTACCTTGCCAATATTTGTAATTTTGTAACGCACAAGTTTAGAAACACACACACATATATAAAGGGAGAGCTGTAAATAAGACTTGAGCAAGTTTGTAGTCAAGGCTTTTAGCATGATGACCAAAGCATGTTATATAAGCCCACATGTTTTACCACACACCTACTTTTCTATTTTCTTTTTCAATTTGGTGGGCACTGGCAACACCCTCAATAAGCGCCTTTGGACTGCTGGTGCCTCTAACTTATGTTTTGTTGTTCTAAAAAATTTATTTGTTACCTACTATGCAAGGAGGGAAGTCAAAATGTTAAAAGTTAAAAAAGAAGTCTGGTCACAAAAAAGATGTCTACTCATAAGAAAAAGATTTGAAAAACATAACATTGATCCTCACTCACAAAGATCTCACCATTACAATCGATGCAGAAGGTCATAGCTTATGTTTACTATTGTCAATCTTTTTGGGTTGTATGCTATGTACAATAAAAAAGTGACTATTTGCATTATGTTAATTTATTTGTCATACATTTTTGTTGGGGCCTAATATCTTGCATGTTCACTTGCATAAAAGCTCACGTCTGCTACACATAATTTAAACGAGCACAATGTGGTAATGTTCTGTATTTAGTGCATATCATTTGTGTGTCTTTTAAAGTGAGTATATGGCTTTTGAAACAATCACCAGTGTTCGAAACTTTTGAATTTTTAATTTGCAGGCATGCATGTCTGTATGTTGACCAAACATCCATAAATTGTGCATGCATGTGTGCAGGAAGGGGCCTTGAATAGATTACATTCATTCTGGACCAAAAATGGGTAGCGCAGGCCATATACGCACTCTGGGATCAATTTCATGATTATTGAAACACACATATTTATTCAATATAGCTTGCTTTCAGGTATATATTTGCATATTGTCTACTTCCACCTTGAACATTGCACCATGTATCCGGCTCTCTGCTGAGCGCTTCTCGAGGGCACTTTGTTAACTAGTGCACAAACGTACAGACAGCTGTAAGTGAGGCCTCCACTTTGTTGACATCTGGAGATCGGCGGCTTCGCCAAATAACACTATCTTTGTGGTGAAGCTAACTTTGCTCTTGCAACAGTACAAGCTTATCTAAAATTCGACACTGTTCTTAAGAAGTGCAGTAAGTGCAGCTTGTTCTATCCAGAGCAGCAAAAAATGAAAACCCGAAGAGCAGCACCTGGACAGGGTAAGGCGCAATTGCAGCACTTCTCGATAACAGTGCCGGATTCTCTATTTGCCTACACATAGAGAAAGCAAAACACTGCAGCTAACTTACCAGTAGCTTCACTGCTGAGACACTATTTTAAAAGACGATGACGCAAAAGCCCCACCTAGAGCTGCTACTGTGTTTAAGTGCTAGTTTCATAAGCGCCTGTGGAAGGCACTCTGTGGAGGGTCGGCCGCGTGCATGGTGCACGTGTTCAGGGTGGAATGGACGACTTAGTACATGTGTTAAAGTACTAACAAACCGTATGTGGACTGTCACTCAGCATGGTCTACAGAGTATACAGCAATCTGCATTTTTAGCCATCTCCAGCATCAATCCTAGATTTGGCCTACTGGTACGTCGATGAGGAGCACCCTTTCAGCACCCATTTGAAAGGGTGTTATGACATCACAGCACCTTTTTTAAAGGGTGCACTCGTTACACCCTTTGAAATTTTTGCTCTGCACCTTTTTCTTAAGGGTGCTGAGCTCTGCACCCTTTCTCAGCACCCTTTTTTGAGTACCCAATAGGGAGCAAAGAGTGGTCGTCTGGCGACAAGCTCATTTACACCCTTAAGGGTGAGTTTTGGTTAAGTGTGCACTCAGCATAAGAGGTCGTTCCGTATGGCACAGTGCAAATACCTATCCACTAAATATTGCTATATGCATTCACTGCCCGATTGTGACGTATTCGAGTTTCACTGGTTTCACCCACAAACACTGTTATCAGTGCTCGGCGCAGACGACGCTGCCGTCGATGCGAGCACCAGCGATAACGCTCGAAAACTTGACACGTGTGTAAATGCCGTCGCACCTCACCGCTGATCAGGTTATCGACAGCTGATTCTGTGTTCACCACTATCAGTGTACAGCGTGTATTGATAGGAGCATTTAGACTGTTGTTTTTTCTGGTACCCCAATAAAAAGTTTACTCGTGAACCGACAGACTACTGCCTTCCTAAACGTTACGACTACTTGACGTGTGTGCCTACGTACAGCTGACTAATATCATGAAGCGATTAATGACACGGTATACGCGCATCTGGTGAGAGGACCTTCTGGATCACTAACCCCCGTATTCACAAACGCTCCTCGACTCGACTTTCACCCTTCACTTGACAGAGTTGAGCACTGCGCCACAGCTCGGCTCAAAATGGCGCTGTGGTATACTCAAGAATCGCAGCAGATTATCGCTGATATGCAGTGAATTTCCGCACCTAAAGACGGCGCTACCATCGGCTTTCTCAAGTGAAGGTGAAGCGTTGAGTGAAGGGACGTTCTAGAATATACGGGGGTAAGCGCCCGCAGTTGAGTAAAGCGAAAAAGAGTATTCAATGCAATGCTTGAACGTGACCTTCTACAGCAGCACTGTTCGAATGGCAACAAGCGACATCGTCCTAGCTGTGCGCCTCGTGTTTACTTGCAGGGAGGCTTGTGCAGTGTCGTGTGGGCCGACTGCGTGCAGGCGATCATCATGACAGCCTCACCGTTCACGATAATCGGGAAGATCCTCTACGATTCGGCGCACGGCACCACCCCGCCTAGGCCACTCGGTGACTGGAACTACTCGGCGAACATTTTCCGGTTGACTGTGCTTCTTCTATGGCACCTTCGATTTTTTTATTCGTTTGATTCTTTTTCCTACTTCACGTGGATGTTATCTTCAGCTAGTCATTGTGAGTTGTGGAAACAGTAGTAGGTCAAGTTAATAATAATAATAATATTAATAATAATAATAATAATAATATTAATAATAATAATAATGAGTGGTGCAATATTTCGCTTGATATTATTGAATAGATCTGCTAACCTTCATTGTTCATTGTTCGTAAAATGACCAACTGCCAGCATCCCGTTTCAAGTTAAACCTTCAAAAGGATAGAAGTTTCTAAAGTGTAACACCTGCCCATATCTTGTCGTCTATTTTTTTTTTTGCGACAGAACAGAATTAGATTTCACAACTGACGAAACCGTGTGGGCTGCCTCTATAGGGGCGTTCCCCGTTCAACTTATGCGACTTGGCTTGGATCAAATGATCACACAGAGATTCTTGGCAGCGAGGTGGCTGACGCAAGCAAGAACGTAAGTTTTCTTTTCTTGTTCATTGCAGCTTACGCAAAAATTTCTGATGTTGTGCTATCATCTGGATAAATACGCAGCTACTTTGTGAATTCGGAGCACTTTAAGGGCATGGGGTTGCCGTTCAGCCATTTTCACATGTCGCGTGGTGACGATGCTAACCCTGTGCTCAGTAGTGGCCCAAAACAAGGGAGTTTGCAATGTGCAGCACCGGATTAAAACTATATGAGAAGGTCTAGAGTAGTGTAATCGAGAAAAATAACCAAAACTAGTATCAGTATTGAACCTAAGAGGCTAATAACATATCGGAAACATTCGGCTCCCACCCACGCTGCACAAGAGAGGGTGCCACAGCCCCACCCACCACACGATTGGTCCACTGTCACAGGCCAGGGTGCCTCCATGCGCTCTTCCGCCTTCTACTCGCACGCGCATCGTGGCCTTGTACAGTGTCAATTTTTATGAAAAAGAATGAGAGAGCGCGTGGCCTTCGCACTCCGGCGGCTGCTGGCAGCGCATTCAAGCGGGAGCGAGAGCAACCACAGTATCTCTTCGCGTCATCTCGCGGCGAGCAAAACAACCATTCGTTGCTGATATGGAACCGGCATCAAGATTGTGACCCCCTCCCCCTTCAAGGCGATGACGCGAGAGCTGGTGATCGCCTTAAATGGGGAGGGGTTGCAAGCTTGCCGGTCTATCAGGCACGAATGCTTCTTTTGCTCGCCGCGAGATGACGCGAAAAGAGAATGTGGTTGCTATCGCTCCCGCTTGAACGCGCTGCCAGCAGCCGCAGGAGTGCGAAGGCCACGCGCTCTCGTGTTCCCTTTCATAAAAATTGACACCATACCACCGGCGCTTCTCTGGCACCTTCTTCGCTACACGTGAAGGGGAAAAAACAACCTGACGGAATTCGCTGTGTAGGAGACGCGCATCTCAGTTGCCGTAACAAGCAGGAAGTTTATAAAACGCAACATAAAAGTAGCGCGCACGTCGCACATCAACTTTTCGAGTCTCCCTAACACGGTTTTACTTGTGCAAGGGAAACCCTATACATGCTTGCTTCAAACGCTGATGGCATGAACGCTTTTGCTGAAGGAAGCAGTGGAAAATCTACGATCAGATATTGCCGGTTTCACTGTGGTGTATCTGCTTTTAGCGCAGGATATCGAAATGAACCAATTCATACAAAAGAATTAGTTCCTCTTTATAGCGGAAAAGAATACGTGTATTGAAGAATCAGAACACTATTAAATTCCCGCACTTGTTCAGTCGTGACGTCAACTTCTTGTCTTTTTTTTTAATCAGGAGGCCTCTTACTATGTGTTGCCTCTCATTACTGAGTTAATTCATTCATTCGTGCGCAGGTCATCAGGTGTGAGGATGACTTGTCAGCGTTGAGCAATTGATGTTAGTTTTTTGTGCTGTTTCTTGGTATCTCTTTTTTTTTGTTTGTTTTTACTGCTCTGTAAAATGGATGACCTCGGATATATCGCCCTTCGTGAGTTAGCGAAGCGGTTTGGAGACGTACAAAGAGGTTTTCTCCGATGCTTCCATTTAAATGTACAATCATTGGGAAACAAAGTAAATGAACTCGAGTGTCTGTTTAATCAAATGAAAGGTTGTTTTGATGTTGTTATGCTAACGGAAACCTGGAAATCGGATATTTCAGAAGAATTTGAACTACCTCATATGAAAACGTTCTCTGTTTTTCGGCCAAGTCGTCGAGGAGGTGGTGTCACTATGCTACTTGAAAATTCTTTACCAGCCGTATTGCTCGAAAAGTTTACTTCAGTTACTGCTCATTACGAAATGTTATGTGTTCAGTTTCAAGATGTCATAGTTGCTGTGTGTTACCGGCCACCTGATGGTGACTTGTCTGATTTTTTTGCATTTTTAGATGTTTTCTTAACATTTGTAAATCAACATCAATACACTGTTATATTGGGTGGTGATTTCAATATTGACATGGGGCATGAAAGCACGAGAAAGTGTGACTTTGAAACTATTATTGCATGCAACGGTTGCGAAACATTATAAATAGATCCACTAGAATTAGTCTGTCTTCGGAGACCACCATAGACTTATTTATCACAAACTGTGATCTGTCGTGTGTTACCTGTGCTGTCCTTACGTATCCTATTAGTGATCACATGGCGATATGTTGTTCTGTAAAAACAGCTGTACCTACGTTAATTCAGAATGACATTCCTTATAGTTATCAGCATGTCTCGCCAGCTGTTTTAGATGCTTTCCGTTTAGAGATTGGCACTTTGCATTGGGACAATGTTTTTTACTCAAATGATGCAAACTCAGCCTATGACGCTTTTTTTAGAATCGTTTATTTGTATATACAAAAAACACTTCCCTTATGAACAGCGGAAAAAACGTAAAGGTTGTCGGAAACCTTGGATGACACGTGAACTCTTACGTAAAATAGACAGAAAAAACAGATTATTCCGGAAATTCATACGTACGCGCGACGAGGCGGACCTAATTGCTTTCAAGCAGTTCCGAAATGCCTTAAGCAAAGAAATGAAGAAATCAAAGGAGCTGTATCATATACAAGCATTTACTGTGTGTTCAAAACGAGCAGATGTTTTATGGAATAGAATAAACTCTTTGATGGGCCGAAATTCGAAAACAGAAGAAATTAAGGAGGTACTCCATGACGGAAACTTGGTCAGTGGAGAGGCTATGGTCAATGTTTTTAATGATTACTTCGTTTACAGAGACTTTAGCGACAGATCAACCGCTACTTGCCGAACTCTGGGTCCAGAAATTGCAAACACGTTTTTCTTAGCAGGTACTATCGAACCAGAAGTCCGCACAGTATTTCTCGGCTTAAAAAACAGTCGCAGCTGCGACGCTGATGGCATACAAATAAAACCAGTGAAATATGTTATCGATCAGATCAGTCCAGCACTAACACACATATTCAATCTCTGTATTTCGACAGGGGTTTTTCCTTCGAAAATGCAAACGGCACGCGTAATAGCTCTCTACAAAAAGGGGAACAAGCATAACGTTGCAAATTATCGACCGATATCTATTCTCCCCGTATTTTCTAAAGGTTTCGAAAAAATTATTTTTAGTCGCTTATCCTGTTTTTGCACCAAATATGTCCTAACAAAATCACAATATGGCTTCCAAAAACATAAGTCTACAGAACTCGCCCTACTGGATCAAAAAGAATATATTCTACAACAATTTGAACAAAAAATAAGTGGTCGGAATTTTTGTGGATTTCACACAAGCATTTGACTACATTCACCACGGCATTTTATTTGAAAAATTAAACCATTATGGCATTCGCGGGCTCCCACTCATGTTACTTAAAAGCTATCTGGCGCATAGATGTCAATTTGTTTCGATAAATGATTTAGTATCAGATAAGAAAAATATAATTTCAGGGGTACCACAAGGGAGCATTCTTGGCCCTTTATTATTCACTTTATATATTAATGACATAGTCCATATCTCCCCAGAAGTTAAGTTTATTATCTATGCAGATGACACGAGTATATTTGTCACCTCATCATCAGATGTTATTCTTTCTAATAAAGCTAATGACGTCTTACAGAAGTTAGACAACTGGACAAGTAACAATAAGTTAAAAATAAATGCAACTAAAACAAAAGCGGTAGTTTTTCATTCGAAAGGTCAACAAGTGACTTTGAAGAATAATATTGTATTTAGAGGCTCAGATATAGAAATAGTGAAGTCAGTGAAAGTACTTGGGGTACATTTCTCCAGTTCTTTGTAATGGGATGACCACGTAAATAATATTCAAATAAAATTAGGCCGGATAACTGGAATACTCAGCCGTATCCGGTACCTCATCCCCAATTCGGTGAAGTTATTGATATACAAATCGCTGTTTAGTTCTTATCTTAACTATTGCTATTTGGTTTGGGGAACAACTACAGAAACAAACTTAACAAAATTACTGAGAATACAGAAGAAAATACTGAGGCTGATAGACAACGCTACAGCTCTAGCACCTAGTGACCCACTGTTTAAAAAATATAAGATAATCAAGTGAATGACCTATATCAATACAGACTACTACGAGAGTACTGCCTTAGCTGCAAACGCGCAAACTTTTTGTTTACGGAAATGGCGAATCTTTGCTTAAAGGAAAAGGCGTATGTAACAAGAAATACAGAAATGTGGAACGTTCCGTACTTTCGCACTAATTATGGTTTTCAGATGCTTCGATGTACTCTACCGCGAATTCTGAATACTTATATTAGCAAAGGTATAGATGTGTCTCATTTAAGTGTCGCAGAATTAGCGGCTCTTTTTGTTCTATAAACTATGTAGCAAACTATGTTATATGTTCTATAAACTATGTATTTATTCAGGTGCAGAAGATTGGTGCAAGTTTCTTTGTTGTGTAAGCTATGTATCAACTACGTTTTCAGGTTTCCTTCCTTTGTGGCATGATCTTTACGTAAAACAATGTGAAAGTGTATGATATTGTGATGTCCTTCATCTGCTGCCATTGTTCACAAAGGGGGCGGAGGATCCCTCAAGCCGTCATTACGGCTTTTCCCTCCGCCTCCTGTTACACTGTACTGTGACGAAGCAAATAAAGCAATCAATCAATCAATCAATTCATTTGTGGCCGTGGCACCATAGCGGCCACTTGCCTGTCGCGATCGAATCCTATTATTATCTTCATCATCATCAAAGCAATTTACTTTCCCCATAATGGCCTCTGCCAGAGTATTACATTCAAGCGTTAATTGTGACAGTGATGGAGCGAAAGAACGACGACAATAATAACAAAATACGTGGACTAGTCCGGCTGCTGACTCCTTTAAAAAATTAATTAACACACATGCTGTGTATAACGCATTCTGTGTACGACAATAATATATATAAGAAAGAGTTGAGTGCTTGTGATGTTTTTCATGCGGAAATTATGCAACGCTTCTGCCAATTCAACTCAACCTGGCAGTTACTCGACTAAGCTAGGTGAATAACTTAATTCAACTGCTGTGTTACAGTAACTATTTCACTCATACGCAAGCTGTTTTACCTTTTAGTTGTTTTCAGTGAGCTCATCCAACTATCAATTTTCTGGCAGTACCTCCACATCTTTTGTAGAAACCATTCAATACGTCTTACATAGCTCTAACTTCTCTCTGGTCGTCATGAAGGACGTAGATTGCAATGCGATTTCATCACAATGCCCGCAATAACTTTTCGACATTATGATAAAGGGAAAGACGAGAGACTGCGTGAATAAGCTGCATGATTGTCGTCGGTTTTCGAGTCACCGGTTTTAAAGGCTCGCATCCTCGCGACTACGTCCATTTCGTTCTCGTCGCTTCGTAGGCAGGGCAACACGTGACAAGTTCCTACGATAAGCGTTACTCACGAATACCGATACGTTCCGAAGCCCCATTCACCTGCCTGCTCTCAACCCGGTTGAAGGTACGCCTGATAGCCACACGTCTGCCATTCATGAGAGTTAGGCATTTGACTCACAGCAGCGGCCACTATGTCATAAAGGGGCAGGTGGTTAACGTGCCCGACCATGCTGCCTTCGACTCTACCTTCCTACAGAAATGGTATCGCGAAGAAACGCCCCATGCCCCTCCAAGCGATCTCCTCTATAGCATCATTCACTCTGTGAATATGACGGGTAGGTGGGTAATAAACTTTATCAGGATCCGAAGAGGAATTACTGGCCCGCGCTATAGGCCTCCAGGAGCTGTCTTCCGCTGAGCATCTTGCGATGTCTTCGGCGATAGCCCTGGCTCGCTGGACAGCCCACATTTGATCCACTGCACATGGGCTGAGAAGGGCGGCTCGCCATCGCTCAGCCAGTCGTCCTGGGGTACACTCACGCTCGTCCGAGTAGTGGCTGCGAACACTGCACTCACACTCCCAAAGTATGTGCGCCATGTCAGCTGACTCGTGCCCGCACCACGGACAGCCGGGTGACGGGTGCAGCGAGGGACACCGCCTATGCAGGTGTCGGGGATTCTCAAATGTGTCGATCTGCAGACGCCTCAGATGAGACGCCTGAGACCTTTCTGGCTGCATGTGGCGTGGTGGGTAACGTCGTCGCGTTTTTCTGTAATGGTTAGGATTTAGTGGAAGGTAACCACGAGATCCTGTATTTTTTTTTAGTTATTTCACGGGGAACGCAATGAATGAAGGTCAACGTATATTCGTGCTCGACCTATTTTCGGGTAAGTAAGGTACGTTGCCGTGTACAGTGTGTTGTGCAAAAAGGTAGAGAACTGTAATAAATAGGCCGCGATTGGTTCTTAGCGCGTACGTTCTTTTCTCTTCATCAGAGTAGCACTCGGAGGAGTCAGTCTGCTCTCGTTCTGCTACGTTCTGCACGCTCTGACAGGCCTTGCCATGGTGTACTGGTACAGAGACTGTGATCCGGTCCTCTCGGGCTCCATACCCCGTTACGACCAGGTAACTTAATGTCCTACTTTGCCATCACAGCTGCATAAAAATCGTACAACTATAGAGTACAACATCAGGAGTAAACGAAGTGAAAGTTTCATATCGGTGACACAGCAATGCACAGCGTCATAGAAAAACTCAACACGTGAATTGAGCGTCTCGGACGATGTTCTGACAATGCACTTTGAAAAAGCACGCTTTCAGGGTGTTAAATAAAACCAACTGATCGACTAGTTGGTACTGCGCATCGTTATTAGCTTCAGCGCAAGGAAACACAACGACGCCGAGGAAGACACTGCACTGTGCTTATGTGTATTGTTCTGCGTCCCCATGTTTCATCGCGCTGACGTTATGTTATTTAAGATGTTTTAACATTCAATCAGTTTGCTTGCGCTTCATTTCTTGAGAACTCTGTTCTTAACACTTTCGCATCGATACCGTTCACACTGTTCATGATCCCATTGTTCGGGATGTAAACGTACCGGGCCCGCGGCGATAACGCATATATAGGCAAGGCACGCGAAATGCAATGTTCCTTCTTTTGAAAAGACAGGTTTCTGAGACGCGAAGCGTCTTATGGTCGCGCTCAATATGGTTTGCGGCGTGGCCACTATTAGTACTGTACACGCACGCCCACTACCTCCTCTCTCGCCTCGAAACGCCGACTGCGTCTCAATCAATGACCCAATCAATCAATCAATCAATCAATCAATCAATTCATCAATCACTTTTTTTTATTTTCACACTGAAAGAGATGAGACAGGGCTAAAATAACTGCCCATGCACGACCACCCTCTCCTTCTCTCCTCTCTCGCCTCGCAACGCCGACTGCGTCTCAATCAATCACCCAATCAATTAATCAATAAATCAATCAATTCATCAATCACTTCTTTATTTACACATTGAAAGAGACGAGACAGGACTAAAAGATAATACAGCTTGAGAGGGGTCTGGCCCCGTTTTAGAAATGACAAGAGAACATCGCAGAGAGCTAAGGAATATGCGCAACACACTTGAAACGAAATAACACGTAATGCAAAACAGAATTCCAATAAAAAAGACAGATAGCTTCCATGTATACATACATATTTATATATGCACAACAAAATGTGCCTTTAAGAATGAAAATGGGGATTACGCGGATATACATTTCCATACCTAATACACAAGTATATATACACAGGTATATACGCATATGTATATGCTCTTTGATGTTGTGTTCAACGCAATTTATACACGAGGGAAAGAAAAAAAAGAAAAAGAAAAAAATATGTAAAACGTTAGTAATCTTTCTGGCATGACTGACAACATCGTCCTATTGCTTGATTAGAATTGCACAAAAGATCCCAAATCTGCCTTTGTAAGTTTATTAGGTAAGATTGGCACAGCGTGTTTTAATGGTTGTTCGTCACATTTACTTAGAGGCGTAGAGGAGTGCCATTTTTTTCTATGTCTAGTATTACGAACACCGTGGTTTACATTCGAATCAGCCAGCGAAAATGTAATAAAATTATTGGACAATAAATATGACGGGTAGGTTAAAACTAAGCGATAATCGTATAAAAAAATACAGGTAGCATATCAAACTTTATGAACAGATCTTTCATAAAAAAACGAGCGTGGAACATTGACAACGCAGGGCATAGCTTTTTTTTTTTTTGAAGCAAGTGCAATTTTGTCGGATTTTTCTCTGAAATCGTGCCAAAAAGAAGGTTTTAGTATTGTAGTACCCAAAGCACTAGAGCACTGTAAAGCAATATTTATTGTTAACTGGAAGAAAAAAATTAAGCGAGCTATGGTTCCTACAGAAAAAGAGAGCTTTTTTACGAAGGTATTCGACGTCACCGTCCCAACATAGGTCTTTTGAAAACGTGACACCTAATAAGAAGACTGCGTTAACAACTTCAAAATCATCCGCAACTATCTTCATTTTTTATTGGACTTTGTAATTGTTTGCCTTTTTGCATATAAACCACAAATTTTGTCTTTCTGGCACTTATCCGCAAGCAGCTCGCTTCAGCCCATTCTTCCAATTCTCGGAAAGTTATGTGCACATGGTGCTCAAGCTCAGTTTCAGATGTAGCAGTAATAAACATTTCTGTGTCATCTGCACAGGAGATAAATTTTTCCTGTTTTGAACTGTTTTGCGTGTCATTTATGTAAATTATAAAAAGGAGTGGCCCAAGTACCCTGCGGAACTGTGAATCTTACAGCCTGTAAAATGAACTTTTTTTTCTTTTCCTAGCTCAACATGTTGCGCTCGATGCGATAAGCAGGATTCGAAGAGCTCTAAAGCTAGACCACGGATACCATAAGCGTGTAGCTTAGGGAGCAAGATTTTATGATTCGCAGAATCAAATGCTTTAGATAAATTGATGTACATTCCCATAATTACTTTTTATGTTTAAAATCTCGTAAGATTGTTTATTTTTTAGCTAAAAAGCAGCCTTGGTGGAATGTTGCTTCTTAAAGCCATGTTGATGATCAGACAATAAATCACTATTGTCTAGATATGATAACATTTCAGCGTGAATAATCTTCTCAATGCCTTTCGAGAATTCTGGCAGAATTGAAATTGGGCTATATGTAGTTGAAACATTTTTATCAGTTTTTTTAAATCGGCTGTACTCGAAATGTTTGCATGTCTTTAGAAAATTGGCCAGATGATCGAATCAGGTTATAAATGTGAGTGAGAACAGGAGAAAAAATGTCGACTACATGGTCGTATTTGAAAACCACGAGTGTCCTGCGACTTACTATATATGTTTGTTTGAACTTATTGAAGAAAAACTTCAGTGCACTTAGTGGGACTGAAGAAGAATTTTGCACTTTTTTTCTGTGAGAGCATCAGAGCTGCCGCTGAGTAAACCATTGTCAGGATTACCCTGCTAAACGAAAAAAATGGTTAAAAACATCTGCTAGTGTTTCTTCAGATAGCAGTTCACCTTGCTTGTGAAAGGTATAGGGAATAACATTGGATTTAGCTGGGCGTAGCTGTGAGTTAAAATTTTTTCATATCACGTTGAACCACGTAGTCACAGGTTCTGAAAACAAGTTGTGCAAATATATGTTCCTGGCTGTTGTTATTTTACTAGTAAATTCATTTTGATATGTCTATAGTTTCAAAACTACCTGCGTTTTTATTTTCAATAAAATTGGCGTACAGCTTAATCTTTTGCTTGATCATGTTTAATAACTCAGAATTAACCCAAGCTCTGGAAGGCTTTCTTAACCTTTTTAATGGGAAATACTCACGGTATATTTTTTAAATGTAGTTATGAAAAAGGAATATGCTAAGTCGCTACTGTTCGAACAAAAAACGTTATTCCACTGTTGCAAACTAACAGAGTTGCGAAATCAACCTAGATAGCATCGCGTGTTGTCTTGACATAACTTGCAGATGCCTTTTTTTCTATCGAAGGACAGGTGGTGGTGATCAACATAAATATACCTAACTGGTGGCTAATATCTATGTAAATAACATATGCTATTACATCATCAATGTAAGCATTTGTAAGAAATAGGTCCAACAGCGTTGCAGTTTCTTGAGTGACTCGTGTCGAGGCTGCAATTACATTGCTCAACTGTTCGTGATCAACAGATCTTGTGATTCTTTCCTGTAATGCATGTGCAGAACCATGTCCACATTGCAGTCCTCTCCCCCCCCCCCCAAAAAAAAAGATGGTTGAAATTTTCTTTTGCAACATGATTGAAGAGTAAGTACACAGGGGAAGTTCCGAAACAGATTAAAATCACCAGAAGGTGGACGGTATAGAAAACGCACAAAAAAAGTTCTCGTGGTTGCGCATTGTCAGTGCTTCAATATCTGAGCTGATAATGCAGAGCTCACCCCAGCTTCACAGGTGATGGCCAAAATCACAGAGATCGCCACGCCCCCTCCGCATTTGCTTTCACGATTTTAATAAAAGCACTGATATCCTGGAAGTGAAAACGTTTGAGACGCACTAGTGTACCACGTTTCTGTTAGCGTTATTGCCTTAAAAGATAGATTTATGCTCTCCGGGATGCCGCAGGTCGCGGGATCGAATCCCGGCTGCGGCGGCTGCATTTCCGATGGAAGCGGAAATGTTTTAGGCACGTGTGCTCAGATTTGGGTGCACGTTAAAGAACCCCAGGTGGTCGAAATGTCCGGAGCCCTCCACTACGGCGTCTCTCGTAATCACATGGGGGTTTTGGGACGTTAACCACCACATATCAATCAATCTCCGGGATGATTTCCAGATCTGTTTTATTCCTCCCTAAATAACGAACGTTCTGGCGAGAAAATTACAGAAATCGTCTTTTCACTTTGACTAAGGCAATAAGGTCATATGAAACACAAAAACAATGCAACAAACACGAAATGACGTATTCCTATACAATCTCAGTTCTGTCCATCAAACTCTTTGTGATTACCACAATCATCTCAGCTTATTTTTGGAGAAGTGTTTTGCCACTTCTTGTCCACGCACACTGCCACTTGCACTAGTCCCTCTTTTCTATTCGCAGCACCGAATAGCCGCTTCACGGAAGGCCATGAATGCTCTTAATAAAAACAGACACGTTCTATTGAAATCCTAAGTCATTCAAAGACAGCCTCTGTTTTCTATCCTTCTCAAGAAATTATTCTCGTGACGATCTGCACGCAAAATGAATGACAATGTTTGGGGGCGGTGGTATAATGCCTGTTGTTTTAACGCCGCGACAGGCTTCAATATCAGAGTCTTCAATGAGCACTGCCAACTCCTTGTCCTATATTTTCTTGATGTTTTCCTTACGCGTTGTCAGTAGAACCTTACACGCTGGGCAACCAAGCCCTGTGGTCAAGTCGCGCATGTGCCATCGCCACAAGGTGCAACGGCGACTGCGCAAACGTACGTCCATGCACCTCAGGTTCAGATGCTGCGTCAAAGTACCCAAGGCAGCCATGAAATGAGATAGTTCTTGCCCGGCGTCTTGGCTATAGCCACCACTCGGAGTAAAGCATTGTTGCGAGTGGGTTCTCCTATTCTTCCATTCTCGCTAAAGATGTGCGCAATGCTCCGCAAGTGACATATAGTGCAAGAATGCTCGCACGCATTCCTAAAGTAAGCTATGTAATGATGCGTGCACGTTACCTGAAAAAATAAACTCTGCGTTTTCTGGCCTATAGATCGTGCCGTATTACATCAACAGAAGTGCAAGCTCCATCGATGGTTTTAGAGGCCTGTTCTTGGCTGGAATCGTCAGCGCATCAATAAGGTAACCGCGGCTTCACAGAGTAGGCTGTGTTTTCACTTTCTTAACATTTTGGTGGTATTGTATTTTGATGATGATAACTAATTGTTTTTTTTTGAGTAGATGTTTAATAAATGCGAATTTTCCAAGAATTTCTTTGTGTGCTTGAGGAACTTTGAGTGACTATCTATCTATCTATCTATCTATCTATCTATCTATCTATCTATCTATCTATCTATCTATCTATCTATCTATCTATCTATCTGCCTACGTCTAGGTGCTCTCGTGGTCACGCGTTTAACTTGGGCAAACCGAAATTAGTATGGGAGGGTAATATATCTTGACGCATATGACTAGCTGGTCATGACATGAATAATCTAACAATCAGGTCACGTACATCGCCGGAACGTTTCCGCCAGACGTGTGGCACATACCCACCCGTAGGTATGAGCCATAGGTATGCGCCATGGCTGAGTGATAGTTTATATCTACCCAGGAACGGTGAGAAAAGGCATAGGTAATTTTAACACGTGAGCGTTAAGAAATGCATCAGCAACAGTAAGCCGGCATATGCAAACACAAAGTGTGAGCGTCTCAGCTGTAATCAAACCCCAGCATTCCGCGTGGTAATCAAGTATGGTACCACAGAGCCACGCCAGGTCTCTGAACTACTTTTCAAACAGACGTTGAGTTCGTGAAATCTCAATTGTGGTTGCAGCATTGGCTGTCTGATTTTATGAAGATTACATATCTTCTGCGATGCAGCTTAACGTTGGATTAGCGTCGTTCGTACATAAGCGCCATACTATGAAGTTCGTTTGTGTAGTAGTGTCCAGGGCTACCACCCTCGCGAGCACCAGCGGTTCATATCAGGTCACGCCTCTGGTGGTGCTAATGCCCATGTTGCTGTTGCCATCGTTACGCAGCTGTAAACAAGTGGTTATATAAAACATATGCGGCTTTTTATCGTGTGATTGTGCGTGCATTTGTACATATCTTTAGGGTCACTTAATAACGTTTCGCTCAATTAAAAATTTACAACATGGTCACCTTCCATCCGCATACTTTTTATAGCATCAATTCCCAAGGTACGTGAGATCCGCCAAATTTTTACGCTACTGTTGAGAGGTTGAGAGCTGTTTTCTATTATGGGCTAAAACTGAGCTCGGAGTTAAAGCTGAAGCAAACAGGAAGTTCAACAAAGTATACCGATTTAGGTTTGTTGGTATGGCATACACCGATTTTTCTTTTTCACCTTTTAGCACATGGTTTTCAAGGAGACCAATAGAGATTGAACATACATGCACGCAAAGGCAAGCACATTTTTGCTACAGACTCCTTTTTTGTAGAGCCTTCGTCATTCTTCAGGACAGACAAACAGATGATGATGTGAATGATGATGAAGGACATAGCATCGCGATATGACAAACGTAGTAATTCTATGAGTGTTTGCTTTCTCAACCAGTGATCTCTACTAGGGTCAGTATATTTTCAACGCTAGTATACCTACTGATCGTATAGTGGACGTCCAAATAAGTATTTGTACGTAATGTATTCAGCCCCGTCCATTCACCATATGACCCCTGCACGAAGTGTGAACTGCAGATATGTATACTCCACACAAATGAAAATCTTCCGTGCATTCGTGGCAGTAGCATTCACAAGACGTTTCCCCGATGCTCTTGCTCTCAGGCTGCGGATGATGCAATGAATGGCAGAACATTTGTCTAACTACATGAATCAATTTGTGATCTCAAAACGTTCTCTCGGGACCTTTGCTGGATCCCTTTCATCGGCGTGCCATCCGAAAGGCACTAATCGAATTCTTACAGGAGCACAGTCGTGCGTAATGCATTGGAAGGAAAGGGCGTCAACCCGTCGGCCACTTTGGATCAGGCGCTGTGGTACTCTGCTGCTGACCAGAACATGATGCGTTTGATCCCGGCCAGGGGCGAAATGATTGAGGCCCGCGTGCTGTTCGATGTCATTGCACGCCAAAGAACGCCAGGTAGTCCAAATTTAGGGAGCCCTTCATTGTGGCATCTCTCGTAATCCCGTCGTGGTTTTGGGACGAAAAGCCCCAGAAATTGCTCCGCCGCGGTGGTCTAGTGGCTATGGCACTCGGCTGCTGACCCGCAGGGTCGCGGAATCGAATCTCGGCTGTGGTGGCTGCATTTCCGATGCAGGCGGAAATGCTGTAGGCACGAGTGCTTAGATTTGGCTCCACTTTGAAGAACGCCAGGTGGTCGAAATGTTCGGAGCCCTCCACTACTGCGGCTCTCCTAATCATATGGTGGTTTTGGCCCGTTAAACCCCACATATCAATCAATATACAAAGCTAATTTTCGGAACCTTCACGATGCAACTTGTTCGTTTTAGTTGGCCTCTATCCGTATCGCAATGTCGAGCGACAACATTAAATGACTCCCTTATTGGGCTGTTACAATATACATGACTTGTCATTACAGCACGGTGTCATCGGTTGTCAACTCTCACGCTGCCGTACTGTACGTGGACATCGTGTCACCGTACATTCGCATCTCCGAAAAGAAGTCGGGTGTTGTCATGGCTGCCCTTGGTAAGTTTCTCTTGCTCTTCTTCTCTGGTTATTCTCCTGGCTCAGTAGAAATATTTCAAGGAAAACTGCCAATGTCCGCATCTTGCCTGCCTCGACTACTGGCAAATTTCGTTCACAGTCTTTTCATGGCTGCCCTTGGTAAGTTTCTCTTACTCTTGTTCTCTGCTTATTCTCCTGGCTCAGTAGTAATATTTTAAGAAAAACTGCCAATATCAGTATCTTGCCTGCCTCGACTACTGGCCAACTTCTGTCCTGCGATGTACGCTAGAGGACAAGGCTAAGAGGAGCAGTTGGTGTCACTCCATTGGACAACACCCGTGCATGACTGGTTTAGTTAGCTTTTACAATGAGTAGGACATGTAATTCCTGTGGCCCATTGTTGTGATTTGGAATTAAGTCGTGCTGTGCTGTTTGGTAGATCAGTGTGACCCATTGAAGGACACTGCCATTCTTAAAATTTGGCACTCATCTCTCCTGCAACCTCTTTTCTCCCCTTTATCCCTTCCCCAGTGCAGGGTAGCAAACCGGATGTGCGTCTGGTTAACCTCCCTGCCTTTCCTTGCATCTTTATCTCTCTCTCTGGCACGCAGATTTCAGTAAGCGAAGTGAATGACATATTGCTTGGCATATCGACGTTTCCGTCGACTCTGCCGGATTGTCGAAGAGCGCTCCAGAGTGGAGGAAAGTTTTAGTATCGAGATATGTTTCATTAGGAAACGGGCAATCGACGACCACCCGTTTGACCCGCCAAGCCTAAAGTAAATCTACGTGAATTTCTCCGACAGGAGAACTTAGTTGAAGAAAAATGCACAATGAAGCCATGACGCTAATAAGACAGGGACCACAAAACGAGTACAGGACTGTTCGTCTCGAATTCAACTACCCGACCAGGGCGCATTTTTCTTTAAGAGAACGGACTTTTGGACTGGTTGATGTGTTACGTTCAATGAAGCCACAGCGCTGGTAAGACAGAGACGACAGAAAGAGTGCACTCTTTCTGTCGTCTTCTGCCAGGACCAAACCATTTGGTGTGGTTCTCAATTATCCATGCCATTACCTCTCGGCCACCTTGCAGCATTCCAAAGCATCGTTTAATTGCAATGTTCGCTGTCGCTATCGTTAGGAATTCGTGCGTGCTGGCGTTATTGCCAAGTGGCGAATACATTCAGTGCTATCTCGAGAAATCGTGACCTGTATTACGTCCCTTGCGTCTCTATAACGCCAATAAGAAAACCAAAAAGAGCTATCAATGGCGTTCATTTCTGTTCCAGCAACATCCAGTGGAACGGTTATGGTACTGCTTGGTCTGCTGATTTCTTATATTGGATCTGCCGCTAGGGTAAGTAATATTTCATTGCAAGTGAAGCATGCAAGAAAGTGTTTTGCTCTTCCATGCTACTTCGATTGAGAAAGTTATATTAAGAAACCGCCACATATGTTTGAGCGAGCTGATTATAATTTCCAAATCTCGGATTGCCAAAGCAAGAATAACGTGCATGTTTATGTTATTCGTAGCTACAGCTTCCCAAATGCAATACATTAGAAAGCTGCAATGTAATTATTAAATTAGAATGAAAAGAATCGTTCACTATCTAAAAAAAATGGACAACATGTCCAGCCTTTCTTTTTTTTTGGGGGGGGGGTCATAAAGTTAATAAACTGGTCGAAAAATCAAGTAAACGTTATCTGAGTGAGTGAATTAAGAAGCTTGCATTCGGCTTACTTGATAACACTGAAGCTGGTCGACCCAAGTATGAGATTTTACTGACTTATGTCACTCAGCTATGTCAAGGTTTACCCCCGAATGCAGAGATGTTACTTGGCTCGCGACTTCAACTTAACTTGAGCAAGTCGGCGCGAAGCAAGCAGCGGACTTCAAAACGCCCAAGTCAGCCTTCACGTTTCGTAGATGCTCAGGCTGACTTGCTTGGTCAAGTCAAGAACGAGCTTCAAAGCAGAAACACGCTGCTCGCCTGCTAACGAGGGTAATAATGAAGTTGTTCGCGTAAGGCACGCATTACACCAAAAAAAGACCATACGTTTTAAAATAACTATAAAAACGAAGGGCCACAAGCATATTCTTGCCATTTTACGGCTAACGAGCGGCACGTGGTCAACGTGGTGCCTGCCACGACAGCGATGCGCAGTGTTGCTTCTGTAAAGCGTTCGTTGCCCGCTGGTTTTAGTGGCCACCCAAATGCGGTGCGTTTCTCCATGGTTGCTTGTTTGGAGGAGAAACAAGCATCGCGTTGGGTTCTTTCGTCGTTTTTTTATTTTCTCAATCGAACGCCATGGCATGTATTTGTGCTGACCTGGCTCACGATGTGACGTGATTTTCACGGTATTTGCCTCTGTTCGCCTGTGTGCATGCCTGTAATGGGCTAGGTCGCAGTTATTATGAAAAAAAAAAACAAGTTCTGGGAACAAATGTGATTCGTATCCTTTTGTTGAGCTTGGTAAACAAGAGAAAAAGCGGGGGTCAGGACATTGCCCTCAGCAGAATTCTGTCTCGCGGGGTGCAGCAACGTATCGCTGCATGATGGTGACGCGGATTAAAAAACCCGTGATAGGGGCACCTCTTTTTTGTGTGTGTGTAATTTTACGTAGCGTTGTGCTACAAGCGATGCCTTTCTGAGCGAGAAACAGCGCCCCAGACGGGACGAAAGGATAGACGAGGCACACGGACACAGCACCGAGTCCATTTTTTTTTACCGAAAGAGACGGAAAGTGTCGTCGTGTTATAGAAAAACAGAAATAGCCTTTGCGGTTATGGAACACTTCGGCGTTGTAGACACCGGGGCTATTAATACGCACGTGTGTGTAGTCGACACAACCTGTCACGCAAGGGAACTCAGCCACTTCATAACAGTCCGCCGGCTGCGGAAAGCGCACCAGCATCGCGTACAGGTGCTTTGCGATGAGTAGCGTAACTTTTCCGACAGCATGGCACACTGTCGACTACGGAATGCGGACGAAAATTCCGGTGACTGGCTGGAATGTGCCAGCGCTGTAAAACCTGAGAGCCATCAGTAGCTGTAACACTGGATGCACGGGCTGTCTTCGGTTGTCCCCACTTTCACGGAGCGGCAACATAACGAGCAGCTGCCCCACGGCGTTCTTCATGAATCTGTACCTAGCGTGGAATTGTTGCTCGTCGTACAACTCCATCGGATACCTTGGTCACGTAAAGCGGTTCCAAGAATCTTCGGCAGGCAGTGCGCCTCAAAAAATGCTACGCTTATGGCGAGGCAAGCAAACTCAAAAGCGGCCACCTTTCACGCGACGTCTATTCGAGAGGTGGCCATGTTGGAATAACACGTCAAGTCACTTTCAAGCAAGCCCCGCAGCTGACTTGAAACTTGTCCTGACTTCGACTGAGCCAAGTCGCCTTCAAGTCATCCGCAAGTTCGAGAACGATTTATGGCGACCGGCAAGACGGTCTTGAGTCAAGAACGAGTCAAGTACGAGTCAAGTAACATCTCTGCATTCGGGGGTTAGGCTTGGTTTCATCGAGAGTATTGTTGAAACGTTCGCCCTGTTTTGCATTCTACCGGGACAGCTTAATGCTCTCGCATAGTAGAGTACAGCGTATTCTAAATCGTGCCGCTGTCTGTCTCCTTCTTTTCTTGTCCCTCGTTATTGGCGCTGTTTTTTATGTGAATCATGTCGTACCAACTCGCCCAAGCAACCACGCTAGCTGAGTCGTCGAACATTTTTTTTTCTAAACACACATGGCTTACGGATCGACCGCCTTCACCGTTACAAGTACTGGGCGGCCGAGTGCAAGCTCATTCATTTAATCTTGGCGCAGTTATACACACGGCTTCTCCGCAGCTGTTGCTATGGCGCATGCGTGACTTGGCATGACGTCACGCCAGCTGACGCGGTTACGAGGCGAGGCCAGGAGGGGCGCAGTTGTGGCGTCAGTGGTTGATAGGCGATGGCGCGGCAAGGCTTTTTGCAGACGACAAGCATTTTTGTGCCGTATCCTGAAAAGTTTACTGTTGAAATTATCGTACTGTAGCACCTGTGAACACCTGAAACCTTGTAGCAATGTATAAAAAAACAATTCATCACATTAACGTAACCGCATTTGAATAAGAATATTCAGGCAGGATGGTAGCATAGATTTCAAAAGAAGACGCAAAATGAAAGGCACTTTTCTAGAACAAACTTACCAGTCTTACAAAAGTTATTGCGTAGTGTTAATTTTGCTCGTTTTGTTTTATTTAGTTTTACCTATAGCTCCATTAGATCGCCTCTAATTACCTCAAGAAAACTTGACAACGCCAAGTCAGTATTGTGGTTTTTTTTCCTTTTTCCGTCCCGTCAAGAAAACTTGACAACGCCAAGTCAGTTTTGTGGTTCTATTTAACCTTCTTCCGTTCCGATGCAGAAACTTACTTCTCTTTTATGTTTGTTGTACTTCGCAGTTTTTCATCGCTCTGAACTCTGCAGCGGCGGGACCATTTGCGGGAATCGTTATGCTTGCATTTTTCTTTCCTTGGGCTAACGCGAAGGTGCGTAAGACCTTGCGAACGTGGTGCGTAAGTATTTTGCAAGGAATATGTAAAGTGTGTTTGTGCACCCGAAATAAGGCGTAGAGCCGCACAGCCATCATATCGGCATCGTCGCATGGCGGAAGGAGTGTTTGGCCTCACCGAGGAGGACGAATCAGGCTACATTACACAGTAGGCGACGCGCGTACGATTTATTCCGGAGAAGAAGCACTAGAATGCTTCCTCACTTAACAGGATGTCCACTGCTTCTTCACTTAATGCTTCTTCACTTAATGCTTCTTCACTTAATGCTCCTTCACTTAATGCTTCTTCACTTAATGCTTCCTCACTTGACAGGACTTAACAGGATTTAACAGGATGTCGACCGACTACGAGAACACGCGAAGGAGCTTGTGTGTTTAGAAGAAGTGGTTAACGATTTTGGGTACTTAGTACTCTACTATGGGGGAGCTCATCAACAGAAGCTGAACGCGATAAGTGTAAGACGCAACGGTTACCGAAGCTGACCTCCGTATTCACAAACGCTTCTCGACTCGACTTTCACCCTTCGCTTGACGGAGTTTAGCACTGCGCCACCACTCGGCTGAAAATGACGCTGCGCTGCTCAGGAATCGCAGCAAACTATCGCTGAAGTGCAGTCACTTGCCGTACCTAGAGATGGCGCTCCCATCGGCTTTCTCAAATGAAGGCGAAGCCAACGTTGGTTGAGAAAAAGTAGTTAACGATTTAGAGCACTAGGTGCTCTACTATGGGAGGGCTGTGTGCCGTCCCTGCAATAGTTAGTAACCCGAAGTGAACATTGGTACTTCGCGACCATTGTCACTGGATGTATTTTATAGTGAAGGGAGATTCTAGAATACGGGGATGAGTGTCGGGAGCCATTGAGTAGACCTACTGAGTAGTCCGAGCCCAAAGCCCTCAAAATCGAGAAGGGTGTTGACTGCCCACTTCGGTAGTTATCACCCACAAAATTGGCCGAAGAGATGCATCGTCACTGTTTCATCAGTTTTCAATGTGCTGTGCAAATTTCTGTATATTTATGTGCTTTTTTCTACCATTCAACGCACGTGTGTTTTTGCGTAATTCTGGTTTGTTATACACGCATTTGTGAAACATGCTTTTCAAATTGCTTGTCAATCTCCGCATTTTAGTTTCTTATCATAGCTCGCGCTTTGTTATGCCTCATTTGCAAGCAACTTCCATACCTCTCCTGCCCTTCCCTTGCTATGTCTCGTAATGAGACGGGAGTACATGTAAATAAATAAATAAATGAATAAATAAAACTGAGTCACCACCGCGTTGGAACCTATTAGGTTGAACATATATGACACCTTCGCGTAACTATTCTAAAACCGAGGCGGAATATTTTTTTCTTGTTTGTTTCAGGCAAAGCTTGTATTGGCTGCATGATCTGTATTGCTGGTGGTGTTAAAAAAAAACTCCGTAAACCCCCCTCCTGCTCCACCCCCCCCCCACACACACACAAAGACTTCACTCACAGCTGGCCTGGCGTGCACGCAGCACAAAAAATAATAAGAAAACAGAATAGATTTCCTCGCAAGGCTGAGTTTCAAACCCGGGTCCTCCACCCCTCCCTCCCTCCGGGGTCCGAAAGTCCTTGAACACGACCATTGTTGCCCAATGTAAACTGAACTGAACCACGTGAATGTATCATTGTTCGCGAGGGCTTCCGATGCGATCGTTTTGACGTCACAGATATAGGATTCGTAGTTGTGGAATACGGCAGCTTTGCTTTCGCGACACAACTTGCATCGTCCCCCATGGCTGCACCGGTTCTTAGTCGCGATTTTGCGATGCAAAGTAGACTCGAAAGTGCCGCCGGGGGCACCGATTCGTAGTTTGCTTGCCCGTGTTATCAGGTCTTACTGCATCTTTGAGCACTGAGCTTCAAAACAAGGGAAGCACACACACAGTGTCCACCGCAATAGAGCAGAGAAGGCGGTTTTCTGGCAGGCAACACAACCCGGCACCCTGAGTGACGTTATCCCGTATGTGGCGACACTATATATCCTCGTGGTTAATGCTGACAACGCAAAAATTCAATGCAGAAGCAGTGCCTCTTGCCGCGAGTGCCTCATTACGGCATTTAGTGTAAGGCCGTCGCAAGGCCGACGTAAGGGCCGACGTAAAGAGTTTCACAATCTCAGAAAATTTTTACTTCAAACAAATTGAATCATCAAGCCACGTTTCAGTGATCACGTGATGGTCATTTTGGTAGACCGTTCAACAAGATGAAGAAGTCAGAAAAGAATATGAAAGACGCCATGCCGATTCCGCGCGAGAACTGCGTTCTGTAGACGGCCGCTACCTATCAAAAAAGAAAGAAAGAAAGAAAGAAAGAAAGAAGGAAAGAAAGAAAGAAGGAAAGAAGGAAAGAAGAGAGAGAAAGAAAGAACCTCACTTAACTAGAATATAAAAACATTACAGGTTAATGCAAGGATTAAAGAAATTCTCGGGCACCTTCACGTCATCATAATCATCATCAGCCTGACTACGTCCACTGCAGGACGAAGGCCTCTCCCATGTTCCGCCAGTTAACCAGGTCCTGTGCTTGCTGCTGCCAATTTATACCTGCAAACTTCTTAATCTCATCTGCCCACCTAACCTTCTGTCTCCCCCTAACTCGCTTGCCTTCTCTGGGAATCCAGTTAGTTACCCTTATTGACCAGCGGCTATCCTGTCTATGCGCCACATGCCCGGCCCATGTTCATTTTCTCCCCCCTCCCACATTCACGTAAGTTTTGTTAAAACAAGGAGCATTTTAATCGTTCTTGTGTCATGAACTACACGCATTCTATTGATCTATTTAAAGCACATGCGAGCACCAAGAATCGCTCAAATGGCCTCCAAAGCAAACAGGAAACGTGAGGCAAGCATTTTCGGTTTAGCTGTCGTCTTAAGTGATATCTCGTCAAAGCATAGATGTAAAGTGCAGATGCAGATTACAAAAATTGTGCATTTCATAGGTACTCAAGATATTAGAAAAAAAAATTCTGCCATGGAAACTCAATAGTGGTACCCGGGCTAACTGAGGCCTGCTTTGGGATTTCTCAGAGCTACAAGGTACATGTATTCACACGCTTGTATTGTATTATCAGCGTTTGCGTGTCCGAACGGCTTTAAGGGCCTGTGATCAGCTTGTGCGAGGCTCACAGGACGGCTTTATGCTTTCCCATAGTAGAGTACCAAGTACTCGAAATCGTTAAACAATTTTTCTACGCACACACAGCAGTGCAAGGGGGGATTCATTTGAAAAGCTGTCACAATGTTCGTAGTAAATGCGGAATATTTTATAGTCGCACTTGCTCGCGAATTTGGCGGTGGCGTCAAAAACCCATTGCACATGCTCGTGCTTTGCGTCTCGTGTCAACTGTCACTCACCCCTCCTCTATCACCTCGCAAGGCCGACGCAGGGAGTGTCTGCTGGTAACAAAAAAAAAAAAAAACAACTGCTCGCGCTGCACAACCGTCCACTGGCCTTTTTTACTGTTTAAAAACACCGGCTCTTGATGAAATCCGGGTTTTTCCGACGATAAGCCTTAATAGCGTCGGTGGAGAACAAGAGCTTTAGAAAATAGCCCGCTAATTATCTGCACCTTCCTTCCCTTATTTGGCAAAATTAATGAAATGTTCTTTTGAGCTACATAAAAATTATTTTTTCTTGTTTTCTTGCGCACGTTTATTTTATGTGAAAAACAAAAGAGAGACTTTCCTTACCGTTAAAAAGAACTTGAACACGTCTTTCAGGTTACCACGTTACGAGCTGGTAAATGAGGTGACCGCCATATAGTTTCTTAAAATTAACTGGAGGGCACTCTGGCACTGCGATCGTTCAGTGACCATGGGAATGATAGGTAGTACACACATTTGCCTAGTCTTCGTACTTGCGGGCAGCGAATCGTACTTGCGGCTTCGTTTATTGCTGGTTACGGTTTTGTTTTGAAAGAAAGATTGATCCCTTTCGAACTTCGTGAGCTGATTTCGAAAGTAAGTCTAAAAAAATAAAATGGTGAAGCGCAACCGCTGAATATTTGCTAATACTTGTTTCGTAAGAAAACGGCTCCAAGCCACACGAACACACACGGAGCCAGAAGCAGGCCACAAGTACGAATATTAGACAAAAGTGTGTACTACCCATCATTCCCATGCTCGCTGAAGCGTCGTGCGGTGCAGCTCCCATAGACACTAGCGCCAGAGTTTCCTCTTGTAAGTATAGTAGGAAACTCTATGGTGACCGCAAGTTTTTTGGAATGCAACGCTTGCAACCTTGAAACCGTCTATATGTAGGCACTGTATCGCACATCAGCGTGCCGCCACTCGTTGAAGGCAACGCTTCCCCTTCATTCAACAAATAAGCATAATGAAGACAAAATAATAACTAGGCGTTCCCGAATCGTGCTCGATTATGCAACATTCACGCGGTGCCCCCCCCCCCCCACTCTGTGACGGATTTACTCGAGTTCCCGCGTAACGTGGATCCACAGTACAATGTTGGCCGGCGAAAGGCACGGGCCAAGTGTTTCCTTGATTTCGTTGCTATAGGTCTACGGTTGATGCAGCGCAGTATGGCCGCTCCGGTCGTTTTGCGGCTGTGGTCATTGATCATCGCGGTCGCGTATATACTCAGCTTCCGTGAGGAAAGTGCCTGCCTCCGTAGCAGAGCAAGTAAGAAGTACATGGCATCCTTGTTCTAGTATTTTTGGAATATTTCTGCACACGCGACTGTACTCGTTATTAGCGCGAGCTGATTTCCTCGCATTATCACCAGCGGTCGCGCAACTTCCTGCCTCAAACGGTGTCGTGTGTGCTAACAGCATGGCACAGCATTCTCGATTGGTGAAGTGGTGATGTCGAGTCTTCGAGAAAGAAATATGCGAGAGCGAGCCTGAAGACGATTGTTGTCCCGTGGGCAGAAATACTCCGCAAATACTCGTATTCTTTTTCTCTTAGCGCCTTCTAGCAGACAGTCATAATTAGTAGGAGCACGATGACCACGCGACAATCTTATTTATTTTTCAAGCACTTATGATTTTGCTAATATTCATAAGATGATCTTGTAAGATCTAAAACTGCAACGAAATCGATGATACCGCTTCAAGTTAGGAGTCAGGTCATCAGAGCTTTCGATTTTTTAAGATAAGAAAAAAATAACTTATATGAACTTTAATAGTACGAGTTCAATGAGGAATAAGATGTTTCGGTATTGTGAGCCGCTGTGATTCCGCGGACCTGGTGGGGCAGATCTCGACCAGGTCCGCCGCGTATATTCAACGCGGCCTCTGAGATCTTTCACAATTTGGCTGCACGTTTAGGACGTAGTTGACAAAAGTGTCGGGCCAGTGCCACGCCAGTTCCTCTAGCGTTAGCGCAGCACGACACTAGCGGGCTCGGTGCAGCGGTCAAATACAGGGCAGAAGTACGCCGTGAGTTACGTATACTTCACGCTACTTGCAAGAGACGAGAACTCGAGGAGAAGCTAGCGCTGAAGTGCCGATGAACTTGTACATCATGACGTCAAATCGAGTGCAGAAGTACAGGTGATGCGAGCTGCAGTCGCTAAATTGAGCGCCAGAGTGCAGCATTCTTAAACTAGACTAGAAAGTGCAGCTAAATCGAGGAGACCTATGGTTAACTCCGGGGAACAAACGAGGGCTCGTGAAGGACCACTGTTATTGACACCTAATCCACCTGCTATGTTCGCTCGCACTCCTCTCTCTATTGATTGGGCATGAATACGACTAGGCCACCACATTCTTTTCGCAGGGCACGGCGGTGGCAGCACTGGTCGTATTCGTCCTACAGATATGGCAGACCACGGGCCGCTTCTTCTCCCGGATCACACCGGCTAGGATGACGTACAGCGTGGACAGATGCCTCGGCAACTACACACTTCACGAGGAAGCGCCGCCTCAAAGCACCGAACAGTGAGTAGACTTCTGGGACAGTGTTGTAAGCTGAGCTGTATGCGTTTCGATCTTGACGCAGAGATGTACTGTGCGAAGCGGCTGCGAGGAATGAGGTAACACTTCAAGTCAGGGAAATATACTATAGAAAGCAACGTCAAGTAGCTGCATTGAACCACATTTGATTTTATATATACATATTTCAAATGCAAACACTGTTAGGGCCCGACATCGAATAAAGAATCAATAAACAAACAATGAAGCACACGAAATAACAACACAAAAGAATAGCCGTAGGAAAAACGAATAAATGAAAATAAAAAAATGAAGCGTGGGAACTTGGGAAAGTTGGTAAGACATAACTAAATGTATGTCCTTGATTATAGCTTTCGTTGATTCGCTGTAGTTACTATAAGGTTTTTTGCTTACTCTCTTACGGGACGGCTCTATGCCCTTTCATGGTAGAGTACCTAGTACTCTAAACCGTTAACAGTGCTTTAAACACATGTGCTTCTCTTCGACAGGACCTCATGAAATGTAACGCCCACGGGACGGCTTTTCGTCCTCCCATAGTAGATTACCAAGTACTCTAAATCGTTAACAACTTTTTTCTAAACACATTCAAAAATAAGAAAATTCTGTAGATGCACTACATAAGACGCGAATTCATTTCTTTGTCGGGCTATTACAGGCAGCCGGCGTTGTCCGTGGCGGTGTCCACGCACCGGCAGGTGTTATCTCTCCGCTCTCACTTTTCTCTCATAGCAACAGCTGTGGACGCGCGCGCTTATAAACGCCCATAGCAACCAGAGCAATGTGATTCGAGAGAGCGTAGGAGAGGGTAGGTGCAGTGCTTCGCCTTTCTTTCTCTCGCGTTTGGCTCTCTCTCGTCCCGGCGCCCCACTCTTCGGTGCATTCGCGCCTCTACTCTCGACCGTTCGCTGGCTGGGCGCCTGTCAAGAACACCCGCAAATGTGTGCTCGAGACGCCGCTGTGAAACGCCAACGCATAGCCGAGAACGATGGCGCCCCTACTCTCCCGTCAGCTCGCTCTTCGTTCTCCACCGTTCGCTGGCTGGGCGCCTCTCAAGGTGATGGTAAAAGTTGGTGAAGGCGAAGTTCTGACGGCAACGGTACCCTCTCTCGCCGCAAAAAAATGCCCTCACATTTCCTCACGATTTCTTTCAGAGAGGTGCGTGCATTTTTTTTTTCAAGAAATCGCCGAATGAACTCAGTATCGAGAGTCCTTGCCTCACATATTGATCCGCAAACATTTCTTAAATCCGTCGAAATCGAGTAGAATTGCAGGGCTTTGTCGTGAGTTTTGAGCACTTTCTGTCTTTTTTCGTCCCGACCATAGAGTTTCTCAATATACACTAGAGGAAATTCTGGCTCTAGTGTCTTTGGGAGCTGCAACGCACGGCGCTTGAGCGAGCATTTGAATGATGCGTAGTACACGTATTTGTCTAATCTTCGTACTTCTGGCCTGCTTCTAGCTCCGTGTGTGTTCATGTGGCTTGGAGCTGTTTTCTAAAAAAAAAATAGCAAGTGTTCAGCGGTTGCGCTTCACCACCTTATTCTTTTAGACTTACCATTATGAGTCGGTTCACTAAGTTCAAGAGGGTTCGTTCTTTTCTTCAAAACGAAACCGTAACCAGAAATAACGAAGCCGCACTACACGATTCGCCGCCCACAAGTACGAAGACTAGGCAAGTGTGTGTACTACCCATCATTCCCATAGTCACTAAATGATCGCAGTGCGAGAGTCCCCTCTAGTTAAATTTAGCAAACTCTATGGTCCCGACAGGGGAAGGCTGGCATGAGGGGAAAAGGTACGTCTGTGCGCCTGATGACTTTGAGACCACACTCTCCCGTTTTGATTCATGTGCCAGTCTGTGGTTCGCTGCTTAATGTTAGCAGAGTATAGAGCGTGGTGCGGCAAATGTCATCACGTCACGGCAAGCTCGTCTCATCCAAACTTCGTTCTTGATTTATGTCGGCTATTGGCTCATATATAGCAAGCTATCTGTTATTCTAAAATAGACAGCAGGCGCCGGCTGCTCGTAAAAGTGTGAGCACAGAAAGGAAATTAAAAATTGCTGGAGTGGAAGCTCGTGCATTGTTTTGCCAGCAATAGTGAAGCTGCTGCTTTTGCCCTCCAGAGATCTCAGAAATATGGCATTTTCTTGTAGTGCCTACTTAGACATCAAGTGCCTTTGACCTGTTACTCTAAAGGCTACGTTAATTATAAATTAAAAGATAGTTATTTTTGATGGAATATCCCACAGAGTCGAGTACTGGTGATTTATTATTCAATAAATTTGCCTTGAATTCAAGGCTTACTAAAGAAAACGAGTAACAGAAGGACGCACTTTGTGCACTGTGTGACCAGAAAAAGTTGTCACGTTAAGACGCTCCTTCTGGATCGCCGGACGCCAATGGCTCATCATGCCCCTGGTAAGATGGCTGCCGTAGCCTCCATCTTACGTTGGGTACGGCTTAACTCGTGAGCGATAATTTCCACAACCTCCTTGGAGCACAGGCGTGCCTGTACGAAAGGAAGGCGCCTTAGAAATGACCAACTTTGTGCATGGCTTCTGAACACTCCCTGCCACGCAGAGTTGCAAGATTTGGCTGACCTGTTCATAGCAATGTCTTTCCCCCCCTCCTCGATATGTAGTTTGTCACCAAGCCCGAAATGTGACTCATGACTCCTTTAACAAAAAAATGAGACTGGCAGGCAACGTACTGCACGCGAGTGGTGTTGACTCGTAGAGTTGGACGTCAAGCGAAAGGAAATGAATTCCATGGCAGCACTAAACTAGGTGGTGTAATACAAATCGCAGTTTGCGGACATCAACACAGATTTCAAGCAAGTGCAATTTAAAATCCTTGCGAGACATCTCCGCATTGCAGCAGTGCACTAATAGGCTGAAGATGCTAATACTCGTGGATTCATAAATGTTTGATTATAGTTCCGATCTGCAACAGCCCACATTGTTGTTAGGGGCTTGCCTGGAAATAACAGCCAGTGTTTTTAATGTCGTTTTTTTCTCGCTTACTCAAAATTATGCTGGCCAGCTTTCGGAAAAGAATTTGCCACCTTAGATACGCCTCCGTGATTGTCGTTGCAGCGATGAATGAATCAATAAGACTACAGGTTCAGTACGTTACTAAATGTTCGGTCTCATGTCATTTTACAACGCAGTGTAGACGCTCTCCTGCTGTACCACCTATCCCCATACTGGTGCTGCTTTCTCACTATGTGCATCACGGTGCTGCTGGGACTATCATTCAGCCTGCTGTGCGGTGTGTATGCTTCGCTACCTCACTTCTTAGCAGCGAGATAACAACACGAATGCGCATGCTTCTAATCGTTTTATGTGAGTGCATAAGAGTGAACCTGAGATATTTGCTTTAATTTGTATGTGTGCGTGTGTGAACTATGAAACAGCGTCCCGATTATGCCTACGTTTTTCTTGGATTAGTTTCGTGTTGGATTCGCGTGTAATCGTGAAATATTAGTAGCTGCACATATCGCAGTGTCAGATTCTCTGCCTTGATGGGCTTACTAACTCTACTTATTGTGCAGCCTCTACGAGTGACGACATTCCGCGTTGCGGCGCGTCTGGCAAGTCCCTCCGGTGCTTCAAGCTTTGGCGTCGAGTTGGCCTACTGCGGCACGTAGTGAAGGTGAGCTTTGGGTATACCCTCTTCACCATACCCTTGATCCCGCTTCCGGAATAACGAGATCGCCTAAGTATGAGCGAGATTATATCAGCGCGAGAAGCGCAGTATTGTCATATACGGCGGGCACCGGAGCTGATATGTGTGTGTTTAGAAAAAGTGGTTTATGATTTAGAGTACTTGGTACTCTACTATGCGAGAGTATAAAGCCGTCCCGTATGTTGATTTATGTGTTACAATATTTATGAGGTGCTGTGCCTCAGAATGGCTCACAACATCTCGCGCGGCGTGCTATCGTTTAAGGGGCAAAGCCCCTTAGAGTCACGGCTTGTCGTCGTTTTATTTCGTCGCCACGGTTCACAACAAACATGTTTGCGCCTCAAATTCGGGCTAAATCCCACAGCTTGTCACCGGTCCATACCATTGATATATCGGTTAAAGTTCATCGCTACTGCCTAAAACTTTATGTTTGGCTCATCCTCGATGTCAGAATATCCGAAGAAATGAAGCAAAGCCTCTACGTTTTCTCATCTAAAACGAGAGACCCAAAGTAGATAACTTTACCGCAGAGACCCAAATGTGCGTCTCTGCGGTAAAGTTATCTATTTGAAACTTCTGCGAAGCGATGGTCTGCTAGTGGAGCGGTGGCAAGGAAAGTGGTTTGTCAAATGACCATTGTCCAAACTGCAGCAGAGGGACAATGGCACTTTCCAGTGCCAACTCCCCCTCCTTTGTGACAACGGTACGTGAGATTGAAGAGATCAAGATCGATACAAGTTACGTCCTCACCATAGTTATGTAGCCGTGTAGAGGTCATTTGTTCACTCTAAGCGATATTAAATGGTGGGCTTGCTCGTAGGCTACCTTGTAAGAATAGGGTAGCGCAAAACAAAATGAACACATAAGAAGAGCTCACAAGAACACTCTCTGTTCCTATCATGACTGTACTGAGCGACCTTAAATGTTTAATGGTGTCATCGATTGGCAGATTCGGAGTGGCCGACGAACTCTGCGCCGGAGCACTCCACTCTGGCAGGTGAGCAACGGGAGGGGATCTACCAAAGGAACACATGGACTTCCTCTGCAGCAAACGGCATGCAGGGTCACAATGGAACGGGATACGCGCGTCTCTCTCCTTGGATGAGTGGGCACGCTGCGCACAGCGACGCTAACAAAGTGAGAGCTCTGACACGAGGCCACGCTGTAAGATACAAACACTTTGTATCTTACACCGTGCGCGAGGCTCGACCAACGCGACCGGCGTCAGTTAGCACGCCCAAAGTTGCCACCATTTCAAGGCATGGTGTGCTTGCGACTTCCGGTCGAATCCGCCGATTTTCCTGGGGTAGAAAAAGTTGCTCCGTGGAGAAGATTTCGCGACGAATCTGCTCCAGATCTGCCAATGGAACATACAAGGAGCACTCTCAGTCTGCGAATGGTACGGACTTGATCCGCATGGAGCAGAAAAAAAGTATTACCGGAAGTGCTCCAAATCCGCCAATGGATGACACCATTAATTATGCGTACACAGCCTTCAGTGACCACTTTATTGTTTCCCCGCTTTCTGTTTTTTTTTTTCCTTTTTTCGACAGACCGAAAGCCACAAGGCAAGAGAAACAGTCGGCAAGAATTCTTTCCATGAAATACAACCACTGAAAGTAAAAGAAGATAACCTCGCCAGTCAACCAGGGAAAGATGGCGATATCGATATTGGAGTATAGCCGGTGCCCCTGCGTCACGCTAAGCATGGCACACCGCTACACGGAGTGAAAGCCACGTCGATTCGCCGAGAGCATTTAACTTCGGCCTGAGTGCATTGTCTAGCCAATCCGTCGTCGTTACAGGACGCCGACGTCACCGTTGCAATGAACACAAGCTTCCCACTCATGTAACATCCCGTAGGATGTTCCAGAGCACGATGCGACCCTCTGCGGTGTGCGCGGTCACCTCGACAGCTGCAGCGTGAGCATGTCGCCGTGCAAATCTCCGCGCATGACAGACAGAACCGCGGGAACGCGTCGAGCGTCTATACAAGCGCTACGTGGCTCACGTCGCGCTCCATATTATTTATGTGTTTCCGCTGGAAAAGTGTGTCTACCCATCGGACAGGTGACGCCAAACGATTCGTAAAGTTCAGGGGAACATTTGGACACCAAAAGAGTGGACTTCCGACGAACGCACAGAACAAAGACTTCCGAATAGAGTGAGCTCAAGTGGTGAACGAGCTGCGCCAAACGCCATCTGCGCCAAAAACCCCGTTATTATGTGGTTTTGGACCTATAGGTGTAGCAAGCTTTCAGCGTGGGAAGGTGGGTACAGTACTCGCAGATGATAAGAACAGATAAAAAGATGGCTTTCATGCATGTTCAAGTCGTCTTAGTCGAATGTGTAAAGAACGCCGAGTCTTGTTGTTGTTGTTGTTGTTGTTGTTCTCGTCGTTGTTGTTGTTGTTCTCCTATTGTTAGTGGCGCTTATCGAACTAGTGAGCTCCGTGATGCGCCGCCACGCTAGATTTGGCCAGCTGCCGCGCCGAAAAAGAAGCGAGCCACGTGGCGCGAGCCAAGAGGAATTTCAGAACGGCTGAGCTCCTGGCCTGGCTGGACGCTGCAGCGGTGACTCCGCCTAGGCCTACATCCCAAATAAAAGCTGTGACCTTCGTGCGGGCTCGTCGCAGCCATCTTGTCTCCCGTTCCTCAACACGCTCATTACACACACATATGTACAGTCGTCAGCAATCTTAACAGGAACGCTCCGATGCGTGACGTGGGCTTGATTGATGCCAGCCGCGAAGCTCTCTGCACTGTTGCTTAGGTAATACCTTGGTATGCTTCGATAGGATGTGGGCATGCAAGGGGTAGCATATCGGCAATAGAACCCAGAGCTACGTGTCACTAGCGTCGATCGAACCGGTTAAGGACACGCTGCGGAGCATTCATGTTAAGCTTGCTGACGACTGAATGTCCAACTCTGGGAAGATAACTCGTGTGCGTTATGGATGTTAAATGCAATTAGTTATCGTACTACCCGCGATCATATGATTTGTGGGCACTACTACTAGCAGGACTGTAAGAGCGCCCACGGAGCAATAACTGTTTACACGCTAATGATAAGTTCGTCCTTTGACTTTCCACGCATATTATCTTTTTCTACACGAGGTCGACCTGGCTCTGGTCCACCATACCCTCTATCACTCGCCAACTAAAAGTAAAAAAAAAATGGCAGCATATCCACGGAGTGAATGATGGAGAGTGGGGCGAAGAATTCGTCCGTCCATTCGTTCTTGCTTCCGTCCGTCCATGCGTCTGTGAGTGTGACCGTCCATGCGTCCATCAGCCCGTCCGTGCGTGCGTCTGTTCGTGCGTCCGTCCCTGCGTTCATCCATGCAGCCGCCCCTGCGTCCGTTCATGCGTCCATCCATGCATCTGTCTATGTGTCCGTTCGTCCATCTATTCAACACTCCAAGTACCACCATCTCGCATCTTTTCATCATATATTCCCCATATAGAAGCACCGCCATCCAGCGGACATTCCAAGGACTAAACGAGAGGTGGCACACGCACAATTTCTTACGGCTTGCGCTTCGGGTCCACTTCCCACCTTTAACCACCTCGAGTTCATGGTATATATAGTTCACTGTATTCATGGCACTGCGGCCGAACGCTCGCTAAACCTTTCGAAAACCAAGGAGGTTACGCCCAGCGAGTATGACGTAGCAAACGTTTTCAGTCAGATAGTGCTCAATGTACATGCCAATGGCTGCTAATGGGAAATGAGAGGCGGAGAATTCGGCTTTTACTTTCTTACGGCTTGCGCTTCATATCTACTTCCCATTTTTAACCACCTCGAGTTCATGGTATATACTAGTTCACTGTATTCATGACACTGCGCCCCAACGCTCGCTAAACATTTCTAAAACCAAGGAGATGACACCCAGCGAGTATAACGTAGCAACCCTTTCTTGTCAGATAGTGCTCAATGTACATGCCAATGGCTGCTAATGGTGATCGCAGCCTGCGCGTTAACTAAAAGCCGAATGATCCTGTCTCTCATTCCCCATTAGCAGCCATTGACATGTACATTGAGCACTATTTTTTATTGTTCAACAACGCACAGAAGAAGTCTCTCACCGGCACCACCTTGGACGTCAAAATGTTATACTTGTTACATACTACGGGGGACGAACGTGTGCTGCTATAAGGAGCTTCGCCCCTAAAACGAAAGAAATAACAATGTCACAAAGAAAACATGAAGCGGCAGAGCGCAAGCTGTCAGAAACTAGTGATATAGAAACACCGTCTGGTTCTATACAACACAAAAAGTTGACTCCGCATGCACATCACACAATGTGTGACAAATACATTGGTTTGAGAGCTTTCTCTCACGCGTGTCGGTGTTAAGCGAAACGAGAGAGGGAGTCTGTGAGTGAGAAAACAGATGCCATAGCTTCCACTCTCAATTTGAAACGCGCCGGGTAGCTATCGAGAGACGCGGCCCACGCGCCCCACTTCGTCAACGGCGCCTGAGGTGTCTTCACCGGCAATGACTGCACCCAGCGGGAACACCCTGGACTACGTGGTTTTCATCAAACTTACGACCCTTAGCCTCGGCGAGGCAGGCTATGCTTTGTGGTCTATCATATGAAACGTTAACCATAGGGTGGGGCTGACAGGGAGTCGTAGAAACGTTAAGCTTGCATATGCTGAATGCTTGGCCTTAGCAACAAACGAGCTTGGCACCTTTTAAGGTGAACGCCATGCACTTTGATATACAAGTCGGAAAAACAGAAAGCTTATTCTACTTTGCTAGAGAAATGTCCCTTATATGACAAGAAACCCTAGAATCGACAAACACCATAATAACTTTCCTTGCAATGTAATAAGTATAAGCTTCTATGAAGACTTGAACGGTAGGGAACTGTTATCCATATAAATGTGGATGGCTCTGTAAGATGTCGCCCCCCTATGGAGACCATCTAAGGAAAAGCTGTCATGTATGCGGACCTCATGGTTGGCTTGGGTTCCCGCGCCGTGGTTTCCATCAGTGATCATCGTGAACTATTCGAAATATCAATCTATATTCACAAACATTTTGATTCATTTCCTAAATTACTTGATTTTTTCGTACCATGAACATTCCATTTGCCTATTTAAAAAATAAAAGAGTCATGCTCCGCCATTCCTCTGGGTGGGTTGCGCCAAGCTATTGAGGAACCAACCAACCAACCAACCGATGAAACAGCGAAGTCGGTAGCCTTCTCTTCGTTTCGCTAACGCAGTTCTATGTTTTGCAAGTCTATCAGATAGGTTGTATCTACTCCTTATCAAACACTTCTTGTCAAGCATTGAATCCTACCAATCCCACTCTTATACGCAGTTACGAGAGAAAAAAAAAACCTCCCCTTAAGGCGCTTCCATACTTCGTATCACTTCACTTTATTGAGCACTATTCGTTAAGCTTCGAGGTGGTAGTATAGCCGCCATATTTTAAAAACACAAAGTATCGCATGACAGATGTGAGGCTACTGCAACATGCACGCCATTCGTTGAGCTACCTGTTGTTGATTGATATGGGGGGTTCAACGTCCCAAAACCACCTTATGATTACGAGAGCCGCTGTGATGGAGGGCTCCGCAAATTTCGACCACCTGGGGTTTTTAACGTGCTACCCAATCTGAGCACATGGGCCTACAGCATTTTCGCCTCCATCGAAAACGCAGCCGCCGCAGCCGGGACTCGATCCCGCGACCTGGGGGTCAGCAGTCGAGTACCTTAGCCACTACACCACCACGGCGGGGCGAATTATCTGTTGTTTTCCCTTTTGTATTGAAAGTTCTGTGCAGTTGGATTCACACAATTTCCGTGGCATGTACGCTTACGTCAATGACAGTTTTCTTGTAGCCCTCGCATATTTCTGTGGTACATAACAGTTTGTTAGACTGTTAATTTACTCACAGAATTTACTCGTAGTTATAGCACTTGTTACTACAGCATTGCCATTATCTCCCTTGATTATCTATTCGTACCAAGCACGTCTGAAGTCGACGAGTTAACTCACGCGAGATATTAGAATACCCCAGAAAAACCCACTCTTTTGGTAGTTTTGTTTTCGTCAAAACAACACAGGAACGAAACCGTGTGCCGGATGGCATCATTAATGAAAGTTATAATAAAGCCTTCTTTATTTTTTCCCGCAACAACGCCCACAATATCACTGCCAATAAGAAGGGTTTGTAATCTCGAAACGTTTAGGCATTAAATATGCACGACTGCAACGTTGTTTATAGCTTGTGTAGTTTACCATTATTCGAATGTGTTTGTCTTGAAAGTATATTGCGTACTGTCGTATTTTCTGTATCTATTATACAAATCGCGAACTATGTTACGATGTTACCCACGTGTACCTCCCCTACGCCTTATGACGATGTAGGTTATGTGTAAATAAAATAAATAAATAAACTGCTGTTCTCACTTTTGGTGACAAGTGTTGCGTAGTGGGATATACCCAGTGTCTGTGGAGCGTACCGTTTCTGGTGTTCACAAGCTTTTTACGCATCCCGTATACAAAACGCTCGACCAGGAACAGCTGAGCTGTTGAAAGTAATTTTTCCCTTTCCTTGGTTTTTTTTTAATATTACTTCTTAGCTTAACCGCCGGCTACTTGGCCAGTCACCTGTTGTGCGTGCAAGCCAATATAAAAAAAACAAGAAAGAACTAGCTATCCCACATCGCAAGACAGAAGAAGAAGAGAAAGTCAGGAGGAGCCTGAAGTGGCGATGTCGCGATTCGATCATCGTTTGAACTGTAAAGTTCGATCGCCGCCAACACCAATGTAAGCTCCCACGTGCCTGACGTCATCAAATTCGACGAGTGTGCCTAGTCTGAAAGTTTGTGTAAATCTGCCGTACCGCCGCATTACAGCATGAACCATCCTGGCATGGTTGCACTTCTGCTATGCATCGTGGCTCAACGTTCAATGGCCTGGTGGGGTAAGTCTAGCCTCTTTATTGCGCCTGCGTACTTCCTGCACAATTCAAGAGCTCGGCAGCGTAGACAAGGTGGCGATAAGGCGAGAACGACTTTAATAAACCAGAGCTACGGCATCAATGTAGTCATGGAGCACGTCGCGCGCCTAGGAACGACTACGAAACAGTGTCACGGCTAAATCAACATGTAGCACAGGGCTGCCAGATTAAGATTACTTGCTGTCTCACAACAGCTTTCATAGTTACGATTAGAACAGACGGCACGATACCTAACACAATAGGTCTTTTTTAGAGGGTAAAGCCTCTGGTATGAAGTATTTTACATCATACATATGCTCACCACTCCATTCGGGCTGCTATTAGAAGTAATTGTATTGTAAATGCGAAGAAAGAAAGGAGGATGGAAAATATTGCCACCGGCAGGATCCAAACCTGTGACATTCGAATAACACGTCAATCATTTACCACTGAGCTGCGGTGACGGTCATCAGCCCGTCCACTTTATACGGTATACATCTGCGTTTAAAAATGGGGCCGTCAGTCATAATGACAAGAGGGGGCGCCGACTGATGCTCCCGCACTTAAATGCACATGATTGATGATTGATATGTGGGGTTTGCCGTCCCAAAATCAACACATAGTTATGAGAGACGCCGTAGTGGAAGACTCGGGAAAT